GAAGAAGAAAAAAAGCACTCTGTTGAGATATGTCAGTTATAAAGATAAATCAACACAGAGATTAGTTTCAAGAAACAAAGACTTATACATTAACTTATGATACAACAATACACATGTAAAGGCCAGGAAGATAAATGAACATGAGCTGCTATGGATGCTCAGGAGAGCAAAAGGTTTTAACCTTGAAATTTTTGTGCAGAACAATTAACACAAGTCAAAGATTAAGGAAGCAGTTCTCAAGTTCAGTGCCCAGCATTTCCAGATTAGTGAGGTAAGTGCCTATAGGTACTTGTGACCCTTCATCACAAGAGAATTGCCATGGAAACCCATGTTTCAGGTCACCTATGAGGTATGTTGAGAGCGGTGCAAAGAATGAGAACCACTGGTTTACAACAATAGTTGCATATACAGCCTATTCCTATACTCTAAGCTCCTATAAGATAGTGCCTAAGATTTATTTTTATTTATTTATTTAATGTGTATGACTGTATTGCCTGGATGTGTATAAGTTGCATCCTGTCATGCAATGCCAGTGGAGGTCAGAAGAGGGCATCAAATTCCGCTGAAACTGGGGTTACCAACAGCTGTTAGCTGCCATGTGAGTGCTAAGAATCAAACTTGGATCCTCTTCAAGAACAGTCAGTATTCTTAATGGCTGAGCCATCTCGCTAGCCCCATGTCTAAGTTCTAATGGCTGACTTTAAATCCCTTACCCTATCTAACATATATAACATTAAAAAATGTAGCAATACTTGATCAAAGAAGCAACAATTTTTATCTACTTCCTCAAAAATGTTTAAAGACCAGAAGTCTGGTTTTGATTCAAATTATTTTCAACCTCAGATTTTTGAATTTTAACTTCAGTAGTCTTCAACTGATAGGTAATGATAGAAACAACTGTTTATGATAGTTTAAAAGAAGCATATTGCTAACAAAACATGTAATTTACCTACCTTAAGATGTTCTCCTAAATCATGAACTGCAGCTGGAAAGTAAACTACCTCTTGTACTTCATCGAAGAGTCTATCTGAATTTTTTCCAAAAATAATCCTATTATCAACTGTTGCAGGAGGTAATGCCACAAAAGTGTCACAAGAACAGGGCTCCATTTCTTAAAAACTAAAATCATGTAAGTTTCAAAATAAAAAGAAAGAACATTTTTTAAGTACACACACAACAAAGAGCTTTTCTCTATGACAAAGGGATATATCTAATGAAGGTGTATATTAAACTGTTAAATATCATAAATATCATATCTTTGAGTTCCAGGCCAGCCCAATCTACACAGCAAGTTCCAGACCAGATAGGGTTATATAGTGTAAGACCTAGTCTCAAAATAAATAATACATGCTATATTACAAAAATATGATTAGCAATCAAGCATGTGCCAGAAGAACCAGTAGGAAAGTGACAATGAGAGCCACCTTCTTTCCAGTCCACAGGTAAAATTTCTTTTGTAAAACTTTTTTCAACTTAAGTGGTCCTTGAACTTCCTTTCATTATTCCTACCTAGCATACTGCTGTAAAGGCTATATTCTACTGTATTTGTGCATGTATCTGAGTCCTCTTACTACACAGTATTTCTTATTAATCTTTGTATCATTAGTGGAACTTATGGAAAGAACTTTTATTTTTGTAATATTTCTTCAAAGGAACAAGAGGTCTCCTTTGACCTTAGGAAGAATACACGCAGAAATTTTGAGGCAGACTCACTACTTTGAACAAATACAAAAAGATGTCAATAAAATTCCAACTGTTAATAGTTTCTGGAAGTTCACATGTGTAACTTGTAAATCCTGACTATAGAACTGTTGCATAAAGTGTCTTCATTTGTGATTTGGAAGTTCTTAAATCCTCAGTTTTAGAAAGGTCCCATATTTTTTATTTTGCTTTCAGAATAAACATAGTTTTAGTTTCCTTTTATTTTTATAACACCCAAATCTTAGCAGTTGCATTCAGGAAGCTTCTAGTAATTTTTTTTTTTTTTTTGGTCTTTTTGAGACCAAAACTGTAGCTCCAAACTGTCCTGGAACTCACTATGTAGACCAGGCTGGCCTTGAACTCACAGAGATCCTCTTGCCTCTGCCTCCCGAGTGCTGGGATTAAAGGCATGCGCCACCGTGCCCGGCGGCTTCTAGTAATTTTTAAACAGAATAAAAATTTAATAAATGTTTCATTAAAAAGAAAAAAGTATAGTACACACATCTGTAATCTTAGCACTTGGGACACTGAGGCAGGAGGATCTTGAGTTTAAGATTAGCCTGGGCTACATAGTAAGTTCAAGGACAACATTGGTAACACCCTGTCTCAAAAGAAAACCAAACATCTCAGGAAACAACTTTACCAGGAAACTAGATTCTCTCTCCTCGCTGCTGGGAAGGGATGCCCACTGTTTTTCTTCGTATTTCCCCCTCAGTTTTTGGATCTTCTGTTTGCCGTGTTCCAAAGTCAGCTAGCCGGTTACATAACTCTGGCAGACTATGAAATCTCTTTATTCTACCAGACTCATCAGTAAAATAAGACACTGTCTAATAGGGCTGCTGTGAGGATACAGTACCACACTTTAAGTGAAAGCCCAACTTAGTGGTCCAAGTCTGTAATCCAAGTTCAAGAGTTACAGCCTGGGTTTCCTAGGGAGACCCTGCCTCCCAAGCAAACCAAACCAAACAGGAAGGCAAGAGCGGACCCTCGATGAAAGTTGTCATTTGGCTCATTCCTATCACCCGACAGAGGACTTGGGAGTGGGCTAAAGGCCATGCCAATGCAAAACTTATATAGAAGCCACCAAGCTGCAGGAAGTGGCCAATTCTAAATGGGTCGTCGCCGTAACTAAGGAGCTTGCATGGAAGAACAGCACCCTTGTCAGTCTAAAAGGAAAGGCCTTGTACCTAACCCAGTTACTCAGCCAATGTTATCAAACACTTTCTGCGCCCGGCACTCACAGCTGCAGATAACAGGAACAGAAGACCCTCGGATTTTGAGCTAGCATTCTAATCGGGTGCTTTCGGAAACATCACTTTCCTCTTTTTGAGACAGGGTCTCCCTTCAGCCCCAAATGGCCTGCAAATCGCTATAGACCAGGCTGGCCTTGATCCCAAAGAGATCCGCCTGCCCCTGCCTTCCAAGTGCTGGTATTAAAGGCGTGCGCCACCACTGCCGGCGACATGACAGCTTCGAACCTCACAAACGTACCACAGTTAGAGGGAGAATATCTCCAGAAAATAAGCGGGAGTGGCAATGCAAAATGAAGTTTTTGGAACTTCAGTAGGTGCTGCCAGGACAGCGGATCGGACGTCAGGCCTCCGCCGCCCCACAGCCAGCGCGGACCCGCAGCTGGCGCAGCTGGGCCCGGCAGGGCAGCTCCACCGCGAGACCCACCCAACCTCCGCCTCGTAGCCCAATGGAGCCGCCACTCAGCAGCCGGAACGGGCAAGAAGGGGCGGGCAGAAGCGCGAGTCGTCGGAAGCTGTCACCTTTAACCCCGGAAGTTCTCCCTGGGGCTCACTCGCAGTTCCGGCGGGGCGTCAGTTTGTTTACGTCCCTCACGGACCCAGTCACTGGCCTCCTAATTTCGGACTCCAAGATGGGGAAGTCGTTCGCCAACTTCATGTGCAAGAAGGACTTTCATCCTGCCTCCAAGTCCAACATCAAGAAGGTGAGTCCCGGGGCTGGAGAGGAGGAGCCCCCGATGGCTGGGTTGCCCGGGCGGCCGGGGACGTGGGACGCTGGCCCATTCCCGGCCCGAGAGCCTCGCGCCTTTGCTCCTTTCTCCCTGCTGGCCAACTGGTCCACACTGCCTGTTGTGCCGCCGCTGGCCGACCCGGGCCGCGTCAGCTAGAGTGCAAATCCACAGCTTGGAGCCGGCCGCCGTTCCCTGGTGCTGCCAGCTCCAGCTTGGTCTTCCGGGTGGATCCCCAAGATCGCGGCCTCGGACCTGGTTCTCCCTTTGAAAATCCCGCCCCTTGCTTTCACTATTTTCCCACCCAGTAGCGCAGTGTCTAATGACCTCGTGCAGTATACCGAAAGACCGGGGCGAAAATTGCAGCGGTAAAGAATCAGATTGGTGGCAAGAAAGTGCCCGGGCGTTTTAGAGTCAGACCTGGATTCTTGTTAGTCCAGCACAGCTGCTTTTAGCCCTGAGGGACTCGCACAAAGTACTTAATACCACTGATCTTCTGCTAATTAAGAATGAGCAGTGTCAGTTGCCTTAACTTGTAAAATTGTTATGAAGGTTAAGTGAGATGGTATAGAAAAAGATTAGAAGCGTAAAATGAGGGCTTAGCATTCCAAAAAGAAGTACTCAAAAGTTAATTGTGGGTACACATAAACTTGTGAGGGTAAATTAAGCCTTTACTTGTTTCTAAGCGAGTAGTGAGTTCTGTATGTTATCCTGTATGTAACAAAGAATGTCTGTATCTTCCCATACATCTGTGGAAGAATGTACTGGTTATCTGTGAATACAATTACTTTTTTTTTTTTTTTGAGACAGAATCTCACTGTATATCCCTAGCTAACCTGGAACTCCCACTGTAGAGAAGACTGTCCTCCAACTCACAAAGATCCTCTTGCCTCTGCCTTCCAAGTGCCGAGATTAAAGGCATGTGCTGCCATGCCCAGCCTTAGAGTTACTTAATTTTTAAAAAGTAACTTTTAGAAGCACAGAACTTGCTACAGATCATTCTATATCAGCCTTATTTCTTGATGCCCCCTAAGTCTTGTTCTATTTATTTTGAGCATATTTCTGTTGCCCAATTCTCTCTTTTTTGAGTCAAGATCTCGTGTAGTCCAGGCTAACCTCAAAACTGGTATCTAACCAAGGATGGTCCTAAACTGATTCTCCTGCCTCCACCTCCCAAATACTGAGATTAGATGAGAGAGCCACTGCAGTTGGCTTTCCTTTCTCCTTTTAAAATCATGAAACAGTTTTAATATGTGAAAGAGTCATTATGAGTGCTTCAATAGAAGAGCTGTGTTTTACTTTTATTTCAGTTTATGGAATTTGAGCAATTGAGACTCGTAAACTAACTGTGACATCTAAAGTGTGAGATAAATAGCTTTTCCTGTTAGAAGTCTTGTGTTACAGGGAAAGACAGTACGCTTTGCAGATCTGTGCTGAGTTGTTTGCATCTTAGGCTTCTGTGAAAATTCTCAGTATGAACTTATACTCTCCTAAAGGTAGGTTTTCCTTCAACTCTAACTCCACAGTAGAAGAAACTTTCCAAAAGAAATTCCCATGTATTGTTTCCATTAAGTTCTTTTCTTCTTTCTCCACATCGTTAGCTGTGTTTCCAATGGACCTTTCTACCCCATTGAGTGCTAGTAACTACTCATGTCTTATTTTTTAACTTTGTGTGTGTGTGTGTGTGTGTGTGTGTGTGTATGTGTGTGTGTGCGCGCGCATGCGCGCTTATGTGGAGGTCAGAGAGCTTTGGGGTGACTGTTCTCACCTTCCACCATTAGTTCTAGGGCTGCAACTCAGGTCACCAGACTTACGGGGGCACAGGCTTTGACCAGCTGAGCCATCTTGCTGGGCCTCATGTTTTACTTCTAAAACTGGTTAATGGTCATCTTGTCCCACATTCTCCCCATATTTATCTGATTCTCACTCACACTTACAGTAAATGATTACAATTACTTAAGTGTATTGGTCCTCAAGATTATGTTCTGAAAAGTTACCATGTTTGGAGAAAAAGATTGACTTTCTCATAATGTTGAATGAGTTTCAAACACTTTGTCTTTCATTCCAAAACTGGTTGGTATTTAGAGCTTTTAAACTTGGTAGTAGTGTGATTAAATGTTGTTGCATAATTATGTGGACTAACGGCTTTTACCAGTTAGACTATTTTGATAATTTCACAGAGACTGTCAGCCTGAGGCATTTACTTATTTTTGTTTGGTTGTGACTTTGTCATGTTGTCCATGCTGGCCTTGAGCTAGATGTATAGCCAGGAATAACCTTGAACTTCTGATCCTCCTGCCTCTGTCTTCCAAAGGCTAGGCTTGCAGGCACTGCCTCACATAGCGTCTGCATTTTGTTGTTGTCTTTCCCCTACAACTACATCTCATTTCTTCCCCTTTTTTCCCTTCCTACTCTTCCAATTTGTCTGTCATTATTAATGACACCAAGTAGTGTTCGTGGTCATGCTTAATCTTACTGGTTTTGCCCTGAGCCCTGAGTAGTCCATGCTGAGAGATGATGGATCTATTCTTTGAAATAATACAGGAAGTGAGTGCAAGAAACTATTCTGAGCCCGTGTGGTGGTGCACACCTTTAATCCCAGCACTTGGGAGGCAGAGGCAGGTGGATCTCTGTGAATTCAAGGCCAGCCTGGTCTACATAGTGAGTTCCAGGGCAGCTGGGGCTACAGGGAGACCCTGCCTCAAGGGAAAAAAAAGAAAGAAACTATTTTGAATCTCAGCACTTGGAAAGTAGAGGCAGGTGGATCTCTGTGAGTTCAAGGTCAGCAAGCCCTATAGCAAAAAAGTTATTCTAACATAAATGCTCAGAACAGTTCTCAAGTGTGGCACTTTTGTCTGAAAGTTTAGCCATTTTGACTAGTTGAGTTAAGAGTTATGGCTAGGCATGGTGGGAGCACACTTTTAATCCCAGCACTCAGGATTGAGACCAATCTAGTCTACATAATGAGTTTCAGACCAGCTAGGGCTACAGGAGACTCTGTCTCAAAAAGGACGAAGAGTGTGTGTGTGCACGTGCGCTTGCATAGGTATATAGTTAAGGACTCAACATGAAGGCGTAAATCACATTTTTCAGATGTTACCAAAATGAAATCATTATGTTGTAAACAACAAACAATAATTGCTGTCCTTCCCTTACCTTCCCCTCTTCCTCTTCCCTGAATAGCCCAAGTGGCCTCAAACTCAGAATGGTCCTTCTTCTTCAGCCTTCTATGTATTGCAATTGCAAGGTTGAGCCACCACACCTGACTAAACATTGACAGTTCATATTTTACTATAAAAGAAAAGCAGACTTCCAGGGCTGTAGAGATGGCTTAGTGGGTAGAGCATTTGATGCACAAGCATGAGGATCAGAGTTTGGACCACTGGCACCCACATAAAAGTCAGGTGGGTATGGTGGCCTGCTTGTAATTCTAGTATTCAGGAGGCAGAGACAGGATGGCCAGGGCAAGCTGGGTAGCTAGACTAGCCGAATTGGTGAGCTTTGGGTTTGAGGAGAGACCCTGCCTCTATAAATAAAGTGGAGAGTGATCAAGGAAGGAGGACAGCTAATGTTAACCCTTGTGCCCCCCCCAACATACACAGCAGACTTCCTATTTCATTTGAATCTGTTTAATTTCATTTTGCTTCACTACTATAGGTATGGATGGCAGAACAGAAGATATCATATGATAAAAAGAAACAGGAAGAATTAATGCAACAGTACCTTAAAGAACAAGAATCCTATGATAACAGGTGAGAAATGTTCCCATGCTAGTATTTCTAGAATAACCAGTTACATGAGAATAATTCTTATTGAGTAATTTTTTATGCCTATACTTATACATGGCCGTTTTTCCCAACTTTACCCATTATTCACCTAAAATATAGCTTTATGTGACTCATCCTGTCTGTGAACAAGTCCTAAATGAGCTTTCAGAAAAAATAAACATTACATTTTAACTATTGAGACCTCTTAGGAAGATTTCTCATTGTATACTAAAATGAAACGATGCATAGGACATTTATAAGAAGAAAAGTAAAGTGTCTCTTTTGGCCCATATGTTGTGGCTAGTTGGTTTTGTGCATCAGTTTATGGAACAGTCTTTACTCATGTTGGCCTCCATTGCCATTTCCCCCCATCACCACTTTTGCCAGAATATTATGAACCTTTTCTACATAGAATATTAAATCTAGTTCACAGACATTTAAAAAACATTTGTCTAATGTTTCCACAAATACTTGAACTAGATGTAAAATGTCAAGTTCATTTTTTGAGGAATCCACACAGAAGACAAAATATAATGTTGCATAAGTCTGTTAGTAAGTTTGTTGTCAACTCCTGCAGTTAATAAGATTTTCCTTGGGCTTGGAGAGATGGCTTAGTGGTTAAGAGTGCAAAAAAAAGAGTGCTTGCTCTTCTTAGCTAAGCATGGTAGTGCACGCCTTTAGTCCCAGCACTTGGGAGGCAGAGGCAGGTGGATCTCTGTGAGTTCAAGGCCAGCCTGATTTATATAGTGAGTTCAGGTCAGCTGGGACTATAGGGAGAACCTGTCTCAAAAAGACAAAAAAAAAAGTGCTTGCTGTTCTTGCAGAGGACCTGAGCTCATTTCCTAGCACCCATACGTAACATTGGTGGCTCATTACTGTCTCTAACTTCAGTGTCTGGGGATTCAATTCTTTCCTGTGGCACCCAAACACTCATGGTGGACACAGATACACATAAATTAAAAATAATTAAATCTTTTTTAAAAAGAAGGGCTGGAGAGATGGCTCAGCAGTTAAGAGCTCTGGCTGCTGTTGCAGAGAATCTGATTCAATTCCTAGCACCCACATGGCAGCTAACAACTGTCCATAACTTCAGTTCCAGGGGATCCAACTCCCTCTTCTGACCACAGGCACTGCACAACACATGTGCAACTACCTACTTGCAGGCAATACACTCATACACATAAAATAAAAATAATAAAATTTGAAAAATAAGATTTAACTTCATAGACCTCAGTAAGATATACAGCTTAAGACTTGATTATCGAAATCAGTCCTCCCAGGAAATTACAAATTTTCATCTTGCTTAGACACCATGTGGAAATTCTCCCTGGTGATCTGCTGCTGTGTATCAGTCTTTACTGCGAGACTGGTAGAACTTGGAGAGTAACGGCTTACCAGCGTTGTTGAAAATGAGGATTGCCTTGATCATGGCTGGACTGGCCACTGGGTGAGATGCTGGGAGGCAGGCATGGGTGGAAGCCTGGCCTCCAGAGTTTGCCAGTGCTGCTTTTCCACCCTTCCATGCACTAGTTTTTTTCCTAATACTTGAATTTTATGAATTAACTTTAGCTCATCTGAGTCATTCACTTTAACTTTACTATAGACCTTTAAGTATAATAGGTTCTGACTCTATTGTATTAATTAGCCTATTACAGAATTTCTTTATTTTTCTCTTTTGTTCTAACTAAAGACTATGATTCTTAGAGCTGAAGAGATGGCTCAGTTTATAAAGTGCTTGCCCACATAGGCACGAGGTTCTGAGTTGAGATTTCTAGCACCCACTTAAAAAGCCAGATGTAGTGGTATATACCTATAATCTCAGCACTTGGGAGGTGGAGACAGGAAGATCCTTGGGGCTTGCTAAGTAGTTAGTTTAGTGAAATCAGTGAACTCCAGTTCAATGAGAGACTCCATCTGAAAAAATAAGGTGGAGGGCCATAGAGATGGCTCAGTGAGGTAGCTCAGCGGGTAGAGGCACTGGCCATGCAAGCCTGGCAACCTGAGTTCCATTCCCAGTACCTACATAAAAGTAGGCGAGAATTGTCTGCATAAAGTTGTTCTCTAACCTTCACATTTACACATACGTGCTCCCCCCACCCACCATGCACACACACACACACACACACACACACACACACACACACATAACAACAAAGTAAAAGAATTTGATTCTCAGTTATATTGACTTGTGCATTGTATTTGTTACTTGTATTTGACTTGGATTTTACTTTCTAGAGAAATCTCATACTAATTTTTCGAAAACTGTTTGATCCTTCACAATTAAAACCAAATACATGGTTTGTATGTAGGATTTTGAAACTTTTTAAAAAATATTTTATTTATTATTTTTTTGTTTTATGTGTATGAGTGTATTGCCTGCATGTATGTGAGTGCACCCGTGTTATGCAATGCCGTGGAGGTCGGAAGAGGGCTTCAGATTCCCCAGGAACTGGAGTTAAGGACGAGTCGTACCTGCCATGTGGGTGCTGGGAATCGAACCTGGGTCCTCTGCAAGAGCAGTCAATGCTCTTAACCGCTGAGCCATCTCTCTAGCCCCAAGGATTTTGAAACTCTTTAAGTAGCATTATAGTTTATGCAAATCCTGTAGGAGTAACTATATCATTTTTTCCTCCTTTTTGGGGAGAAGCACAGATAAGAAATTCTCAGAATTTGCAGCCAGTTATTGAGGAGGCAGCACTTTGAGAACTTTACCTCTAACAAAAATATTCTATCATGATACGTTAGGATTATTTTTTGAGGGAAAAGTGTCCTATTAATGTTCTTCCTCCTACTTAAAATTGTTAACTTTATTTCATTTAGATTGCTTATGGGAGATGAGCGTGTAAAGAATGGTCTTAACTTCATGTATGAGGCCCCACCAGGAGTTAAAAAAGGTACTTGCCTCATTTCCTTTGAACACTCAGCATGAGCAGAACTACATTTGTCCTCTTATAATATGTACATATATATCTTTAGTCCTTCTTACTAAATTTATTCTTATTTTTATGTATTTATTTTTTGGTCTTTTTGAGCCAGGGTCTCCCTGTAGCCCCGGCTGTCCTGGAACTCACTATGTATGTAGACCAGGCTGGCCTTGAACTCACAGAGATTCTCTCACCTCTGCCTCCCAAGTGCTGGGATTAAAGGCATGCGCCACCACACCCGGCCTAAGTTTATTTTTAAATAGAAAATATAATACATTTTTTTGCCACTTAAAATTTTTTTAATTAGGAATTATCATGCTTATTCTAGACTCTTGCTCAATACTGTGTTTTAGCCTTCAGTGATCTGGAGTTTTATCTTGTAGAAATAAACAGTAAATTCTTACAAGTTAAATTTAAAGAGCATATACCATCAGTTCTAGCACTTAGGAGGCAAAGGCAGGTAGATCTCTGTGAGATCATGGCCAGCCCGGTCTACATAGTGAGTTCTAGGCCAACTGGGGCTGCAGAGAGACCCTGTCTAAAAAAAAAAAAGTTTAAAGACTGTAATATTATATATAGTAGACTTTTATATTAAAAATTTTAACATGTTTTACTTCCCCCCCCATGCTTCTGATATGCTATCAAGAAAACAAAGAGGTAATGCACTATTTTCTGTTGGAATTTACTTAATAATTGGTTGTGATTTTATAGAAAAATTGAAAGAATTTTTAATGAATGTTTTAGAAAGAAGAAACAGAAGGAGAAACAGAATACAAATTTGAATGGCAGAAAGGAGCTCCACGAGAAAAGTAAGTGCTGGTTTGCTTGTGAGATGGAATATGTGTAGTTTGCAGACCCATCTTAATGTTGTTATTTTCATTCAGGGAACATAATGTGAAAAGGATTTGGGGGTTGGAGAGGGGGTTGTTTTCTGTTTGTTTGTTTTGAGACAAGTTTCCTATGTAGCCCTGACTAGCCTGGAATGCTTCATGTAGACCAGGCTGGCCTCAAATGCCTGCTTCTGCAGTGGATGTGCCACTATACCCAGCCAAATGATATTTTTAATAACATGTCTCATTCAGCCAATCTGCTTGATTATATTTTGTTTTATAAACTTGCCTACTTTTTAAAACTGCAAATTACCAGACTAGACATTTAGTAACTCGTGTTACTCTTACATTTTTTTTTAAAAAAAATTATTCTTATTCTTATTTTTTTTATGTGTATGTGTGTATTGCCTGCATGTAGGTAAATGCACCCATGTCATGCAGTGCCCTTGGAGGATAGAAGAGGCTGTTGGATGCCCTGGAACTGGAGTGTGGGTACTGGGATTTGAACCGCAGTCTTCTGTAAGAACAGCCAGTGTTGTTAATCGCTGAGCCATCTCTCTAGCCCCATGTTACTATTACATTTTATAGTAATACGTTTTATAGTTTTCCTAGAGTTAGAAATTTTTTCAGATTAACTGCCATTGAATATATACTAAATTGTTCTTAATGCCAAATCATATATATTTTTTATACTTAACAGATACGCCAAAGATGACATGAATATTAGAGATCAGCCCTTTGGTATTCAGGCAAGTAACACATATTTTACTTTTAGAACAATTTTTAATATAGCTTTACATTATTTTCTAAAAGTTGTTTAAGCTGAAAAAGAACACTGGGTTACATTTCTATCAAATAATAAGAATGAGGAGAAAATGAGAAATGCGGTGGGCTAATAAAAGATGTTCAAATTTTCTAGTGAAAGGTATTATGATACTGCTCATTCAGATTTCACATAATTTAGAAAACTAACTCAAGGTCAAGAAAAGAAGTCAAACTATTATTTATTTAGAAACAGAATAAACTGTTAGCAGGGCAAAACCCTTGTGAAGAAAGCATAGATACAGCTGGGTGTAGTGGTACACACCTTTAATCCCAGCACTCTAGAGGCAGAGGCAGGTGGATCTCTGTGAGTTCAAGACCAACTTGGTCTACATTGTGAGTTCCACACTGGCTATGGCTGCAGGGAGACCCTGTCTCAAAATGAACCCTCCCCCAAAAAATAAAAATAAAAAATAAAGCGTAGATAGCATTGCCTTTCCTGTCTGCCGGACTGCTATCTCAGCAGCAGAGTTGAGTAGCTGCTCACAGATACAGCCTAAAAAACGATTTTTACCTCTACAGAATTAGTGTGCCAACCCCTGGTTTAGAAATTTGACACTTCAGGTTTAGAGATTCAGCTCAGTGGAAAAGCACTTGTACAGTGTGCATAGGGTCTTGGGTTTAATTCTGAGCCTGGAAAAGAAGAAATGGTGTGGTAGTACATGCCTATAATTCAACACATCACAAGTTGAGGCAGAGCAAGAAGATTGAAAGTTCAAGCTCAACCTGAGCTACATAAGGAGACCTTATTTTCTGGTCTTTTTTGTTATTTTGTCTTTTTTTATTTTTTTGGAGCTGAGGACTGAACCCAGGGCCTTGAACTTGCTAGGCAAGTGCTCTACCACTGAGCTAAATCCCCAATAAAAAAGGAAAAGATATTTAAAAGGTTAACTTATATAAAAAATTAAAATTAGGGAATCTGTGCCAGGTGTTACAGCACATGCCTTTAATCCCAGCCCTCAGGAGGCCTGGTCAGCTGGTGCTGCAGGGAGACCCTGTCTTTAAAAAACAAATCAGGGAATATAAGATTAAACCTTGATATAATTCTTTCTGGTGGCACTGTTGTAGTATAGGAGGCAGAGATAGGATTCAACCTAGTTTTTAGGCAAAATTTATAGTAAAAGATTTTAATATATGTATTAAATTATCCAACATAGTTGTAAGATCTCTTTCTCTGGAGATCTTTTTTTAAAATGAGTAACTTAATGAGGCATGATGGGCAGAAGTACGCAGATCTCTGTGAGTTCAAGACCAACCTGGTCTACATAATGAGTGCCAAACCAGTAAGGGCTACATAGTAATACCCTGTCTTAAAACAATAAAATAAAAATAATAAAACTTAAATAAGACATGAGGAGTTGAATGTTAGGCTCTTAGTATTTTAGAATCAAATTAATGTTTATTATTTCTCAGGTTCGAAATGTGAGGTGTATTAAATGTCACAAGTGGGGTCATGTCAACACAGACCGGGAATGTCCCTTATTTGGTCTTTCTGGAATCAATGCAAGTTCGGTTCCCACTGACGGCTCAGGTAGGCATTAGACATGATTTACTTGTTTTAGAATTTTGACAAGGAAAGATAAAATAAGATTTTTATTTAAACTCAACTCTTTTGTAGTTAATTATTTTGTACTAAGACGGATTCCCAAAATAGGATGCTCAGAACTAGTGATGTAATTCAGTAGTAGGATGATTTGCTTACTTAGCATGTGCAAGGTCCTAAGTTCAATTCCCAGCATCCCATTCCGCCCCCAAAAAAAGACGATCAGTGGGAAATTCTTCATCATATGTGTTGAATTTGAAGTGCTATATAATAAAATTAAATTTAATTTTTCCAGCCAAAGGTTCTATGAACTTACTGTGTTTAGTTACTGGGGTTTTTTCTAAATTTTTTATTTTATGTGTATGACTGTTTTGCCCACATGTATGTAAGTGCACCCATGTGTACAAAGCCTGTGGAGGCGAGAAGACAGTGTTCAATCCCCTGGAACTGCAGTTCTGGGAAATTGTTGGCTGCCATGTGGGTACCAGGAACGATCTAGAAGATCAGCCAGTATACTTAACCACTAAGGCATCTCTATAGCCTCGGCTTTTTATTTATTTTATTTATCTTTAAAATTTTTATTTATTATTTTTATTCTATGTGTATGAGCATAATGCCTGTATATAGGTAGATGCACCCATTTCGTGCAATACTTGCAGAGGTCAGAAGAGGGCGTCAGATCCCTTGGAACTGGAGTTGAAGTTACAGACAGAGACAGTTGTTAGCCGCCATGTGGGTACTGGGAATCAAACCAGGGTCCTCTGCAGAGAAGTCAATGCTCTTAACTGCTGAGCCATCTCTCCAGCCCTTATTTTATTTTTTAGACACGGTTTCATATAAGTCAGGCTGACCTCAAACTCACTGTGTGGCCAAGTCTGTCCTTGAGCTCCTGATCCTCCTGCCTCCACCACCGGGGTGCTGAGATTAACTTGTGCTACCATACCTAGCTAAGTTTGATTTTTTTTTTTTTTTTTTTTAAGTTTTTTTTTTTTTTTGTTTGTGTTTGTGCAGGAGTATATCCCTTCCCAAACTCCTCCAAGGTCTACCACCTTGATCCCTACCCACCCAAAATTGTCTTCTTTTTTTAAAAAAAATTGAGTCCAACTTGTGCTGTCCATATACTCTTGGGTGTGTGGCCATCAACAGGAGTGTGATCAAACTACCAGGAGCTACACTCTTAAAGAAGACTGACTCTCCTTTTTTTTTTTTTTTTTTTTTAAGATTTATTTGTATTATGCATGTGTGTGTGCAGGTGCCTGTGGTGGTCAGAAGAGGGTGTCACATTTTCCTGGAGCTAGAGTTACAGGTGGTTGTGACTTGCCCAACATGGGTTCTGGGAACTACACTTAGGTCCTCTGGAAGAACAGCAAGCACTTGTAACCACAGAGCCATCTCTCCAGCCCTGCCAAATTTGATTTTAAAAGGAAGAGACATTAATCATTAAAGATACTTTTTTGTTACCATATCAGTAGCCTGAAATTAGGAGAAGAAATAGTTTGTATGCATGTGTATGATGTGTAAATGAGTACATATGTGAACACCAAGGTACATGTATGCCATGGTATATTTATGGAAGTCAAAGAACAATTTCTGATGTCTCGAAGTCCTGCCTTCCACCTTGTTTGAAGTGGGTTCCCTTTGTTATTCCATGCTGCATATTCCCAAGTAGCTAGTGTCCAGGGATTCTTAAGTCTCATGGTAGGACCACTGGGATAACAGATACGTGCTATTGCACCTGGCTTTGCATCCATTCTGGGGATTCAAATTCTGTTCCTCACTCTTGGGCAGTAGACACTTGACTTACTGAGCCATCTCCCCAGCCCAAGAAGTGATTCTTATATTTAGATTCTCCTTAATTGTAAAAATAGACTGAGTGGAAAACCTCAGCCATCATTTCTTTTTAGCTATGAAATAAAAACTTTAAAATTGAGGGCCTTTTTCTTCTTGAGACAGGGTCTCCCTATAGCCCCAGCTGGCCTGGAACTCACTATGTAGACCAGGCTGGCTTGAGCTGAGAAATTTGCCTGCCTCTGCTTCCCAAGTGCTGGGATTAAAGGTGTGCACCACCATGCCTGGCTTAAAATTGAGTTTTTTAAAAAAATTTAACATGATGAAGTTGGTTTGTACTTGAAAGTTATTTAACCTTGTATTGGTCACTTTTCTGTTGCTGTGATAGAAACACTGACCCAAGCAATTTATAGAAGGAAGAATTTATTTTAGCTTACGGTTCCAGGAGAATTACAGTCTGTATTGGTGGGGAGTCACGGTGGCAGAGATGGCTGGAGAAGAGGAGTGGAAGCTAAGCTCTACATCTTCCAGCAGGCACAGGAAACAAGCAGACAACTAGAGATCTGGCAAGGCTTAAGAACTCTCTAAGCCCACCCCCAGTGACGTGCTTCCTCCAGGATAGCCACACCTTCTAAAACCTCCCAAAAGAGCGCTATCATCTGGGGACAAAATGTCCAACCGCTTGGAGCCTATGGGGGGACATTATCATTAAAACCATCACAACCTTCTTCATATTACTTTCTACTTAAAATTTATCTGGTTTGGATTGTATCATTTTGGTTCTTTTTTTTTAAGATACTAAAACTGGGGCCTGGAGAGATGGCTCAGCAGTTAAGAACACTGGTTGTTCTTGCAGAAGACCCAGGTTCGAATCCCAGCACCCACATGGCAGCTGAAACTGTTCATAACTCCAGTCCCAGGGCATCCAACAGTGTCTTCTGACCTCCGTGGGTATTGCACAACACGGATGCACTTATCTACATGCAGACAATACACGCATACACGTAAAATAAAATTAAGAAAATGCTAAAACTGAAAGATTTTAACTTAAATTCGCCTTGTGTTTTATTGAGACAGACACACTAATCCAGCCCCTATTCACTATAGAGCATAATAGAAATAACTTACTTAGTGGGCTGGAGAGATGGCTCAGCAGTTAAGAGCACTGACTGCTCTTGCTGAAGACCCGGGTTCGAATCCCAGCACCCACATGGCAGCTGACAACTGTCCGTAACTCCAGTCCCAGGGGATCCGACAGCCTCTTCTGTCCTCTCCGTGCATTGCACGACACGGGCACACTTAGATATATGCAGGCAATACACGCATGCACATAAAATAAAAAATGTAGGTTACCTGTGGAGGACAGAAGAGGCTGTCGGATCCCCTGGGACTGGAGTTATGGACAGTTGTCAGCTGCCATGTGGGTGCTGGGATTCGAACCCGGGTCTTCTACAAGAACAACCAATGTTATTAACTGCTGAGCCATCTCTCCAGCCCCCATAAATATATTTTTTTTAAAAACAGAAAAGTATGTATAGCCAGGCATGGTGGTATACAGCTGTAATCTCAGCATTCAGGAGGCAGAGGCAGGCGAATCTCTGAGTTCAAGGCCAGCCTGGTCTACATAGTGAGTTCCAGGCCAGCTGGGGCTACAGGGAGACCTGTCCTAAAAAGATCAAAGAAAAAAAAGAAAAGAAAGTATGTATCAAAATCCTTAAAAACAGGTCTGAGAGATGTCTTGGTGGGTAAAAGCACTAGCTGCAGAAGTCTGGCAACCCACATTTGATCCCCAGAACTAACATGAGAAGCCAGAAGCCAGTGGGGCAAATCTGTAATCTCAGCACTTCTATGACAAGATGAGAGGCAGAAAGAGAATAGCTTGCAAACTCTGAGCCAGCTAACGTAGAGCAAGCAGCACAGCAGCAGAAACAAGAGAACCCCTACCTCCAGATAGGTGAGAACCAGCTCCTGAAAGTTACCTTCTGACCCTTACATGTGTGCTGTGGTGTGCACCCCGCACTTGCTCTCATACTTTATCTCTCTCCTCTCCCTCTCCCTCTCCCTCTCCCTCTCCCTCTCCCTCCCTCTCTCTCTCTCTCTCTCTCTCTCTCTCTCTCACACACACACACACACACTACATTTTTTAAAACTTTGAAATTTAAAAAAACCTAAAAGCATGCATTCACCATCCAGTAATTCATGCTAAGAAAGTGATTATATGTGCTTAAAGATTTATAATTGTGAAAGATTAGAAGCAACCCAAATGGTATCATTAATGGGTTAGTAAAATAACCCATTCAGCATAAGTGTAGATGGTGGCATATAGAACACTTGCACTATTTGAAAATTATTGAGGAAGTGTGCTGGATAGCTATAGTTGTCAGCTTGAGACACCTGGGTAGAAGGAGCCTCAATTGGGGAATTTCCTCCTTTGGACTGGCCTGTGGCCATGTCTGTGGGGCATTCTCTTGATTATTGAGTGATGTGGGAGGGCCCAGCCTGTTGTGTAGGCAGGTAGGTAGTCGTGTATTGTGTAAGAAAGTAGATTGAACACGGGCCAGGGGAGCAAGCCAGTAAGCAGTGTTCCTCCATGGCCTGTGCTCTAGCTCCTGTCTCCAGGTTCATGCCCTGAATTCCTACCTTGGGCTCCCTGACTGACCTGGGAGATGTCAGCCAAATAAACTCTTTCCTCCCCAAGTTGGGAGGTATTGGTCAGAGTACTTTGCCACAGCAATTGAAAGCAAACTAGAACAGGAAGGGATAATGTCAAGATGCCCTTTACCATGTACCTTAGCCCAGGCTGACCTCAAACTTGTGGCAGTCCTTCGGCCTCACCTCTCAAGTACTGAGCCACTGTGCTTGACTTTGAAAATTAGTTCTTCTTGAACTACAGTTTCTTGTTTACTTTTACTTTTTTTTTTCTTTTTTCTTTTTTTTCACAAAAAGGATGTATTTTTAATTATGTGTATCTATCTGTGTGTCTCCATGGGGGTATGTGCATGTGAGTGCAGGTGCAATGGAAGCCAGAGGTGTGGGTCCCCTTGGAACTGGAGTTGTAAGAAATTGTCAGTCATCTGATGTGGGAACTGAGAACTGAACTTGGATCCTCTGCAAGAGCAGTATATTCTCTTAGCCTCAGAGTCATCTCTCCAGGCCGCCTTGCTTATTTTTTTTTAAAGCTTATGTATGTATGTATGTGT